TTCTTTTTTGTTTATTCTTCGTAGTTTTATTTTTTTTTAAAAAAGTACTTTAAACTGTATAAATAATGTAAAATTAATTTGATTTAATCTGCCAATCATACAAAAGTCTGTCTATGAAGTCTACAGTGATCATGGACAGTGTTCTAACACAAACCCCAAATGTCACAGTCCCTAAACACTGTTGGTGTTAAAGAAATATTTACCAACAACATTGCGCCTTCAAGCCAGTTTGATCGACCATCCTTTTGAATTTATGAAAAAAATTTTATCGTACTGTTGCTAAAATTCAAATAGACTATATCAATGGTGACGAATGAATTACCTGAATCAAATAATTAACAATCAAAACCGAAACCACTAAAACGCAAGTTTCAAAGGTCTCAAAAAATAAAGTTAGTGGTTGGTTAATAAGCCAACCAATTAATATTAGGACAGGTGTCACTCCTAACGCGATTTGCATGCTTGATCCAAGAGCGATCTCTTTAGTGCAAAATGATAGATGATAATGAAACATGATTGATATACATAATACGACGTGTAGTTATAATTAAAAAATGAACTTACGGATACAAAGATTCATTTTATTTTTTAATGCAAAAGTTACCGAGCTCACACTTAAAAGTTAATGTACAAATTAACATTAAGAAAAAGGAGAAGCAGTTATAGGAGATTATTAGAAAAAAAATACGTACTGCTCAGCAGCGTTGCCAACAATTGGAATCAATATAATACCCACAAATGTGGTAGAAATTTTCCAACTTTCAACCAAACCATCGATACTATCGACGAGATATTCAGCACATACGGTAACAAAGCACGTTATAATGAGCAAACTATCAGATAAAGTATGAGGATACATAAATTTTATTCTTCAAATACAGTATATAGAGGAAAAATAAACACAAATACAAATACTCACGCAGCAAATGATACGAAAAGTGTGGTTTTTGGATATTCTTTTTCTTCTTGCTTTTCAAAAAAAAAATAAGTAAATTAAAGAGCTAAATATTGAAGCTATGAGATCTGTTCACTTACTTCTTGCTCTTCATACTTTTCAAATAAAATAAAAGAAATGGAATAAAATAAGATAAAAAAAAAAAAAAAAGATAAATCTGAAGATATAAAATCTATCCACCTACAAGTTCTTTATGAGAGCTTAATTGAAAGAAAAGATACAGAATATATATAACTAACAGTAATACTGCCGTCCCATGACTTAAAATCAACACCCCCGATGCAGCAGCTTTCTCACTTTCGGTAGTTGAAGAATATGCGGCGGGAATTACAAGCGAGAGCATTGTCAACGCCAAAAGTGATGACGTCGTTTGCGCTGCAGTCAAATTGAATTCCTGTTCTTTATGCCTATAATAAATATAATGAGCAAAAGTAGCAATTCATAAACAGAGCGTGGATTTACCTAAGGCCACCAAAAAAAAAACAAAATCCTTGGACCTGAAATTATAATGCATTTAATGTCAATTATATATATTTAATAAAAAGAAAACTACGATGAATTGTGCAATATAACTTATACCAGGAGCAAGTTTGATAAAATCGAGCCCAAAATTGAAGCTATATATTTAAACATTCAATTATAGCACAATTTACTTATATATTTATTTTTTCAAATGGATTAATAGTTTAGTTAGGGATGTTAAATTATGGGTATGGTCCAGCCCGATCCTAGGACCGTCGTGGACTCAAATCTTAACTCACGTGAAAACATACTGATTCAGAACTTCTGTAGATCTCTCACAAAAACATTAATCAATGAATCTACCCCTAACGTGACTTAAACCTAATCTAAAATAACCCTAACCCCTAACCTTAACATCCCAATTGGCTAAAAATCACGAGGGGTAAAATTTTTTACCGTACATCTGGATTCAGATCCTGAGTTCATCCACATTAATAATCTAAATCCTATATAAATGTTATGTTTTCACGTGACTTAAGGACCGAATCCTTACCGATCCTTGAAAGGACTCGATCCCAAAGAACCGATTAACATCCCTAGGTTTAGTTATACCTTGAACCACGCGAATCAACCCTTCATCAAGTGCGATAATAGATATGATAAGTTCAATTGCATTTCCAAATGTAGCACTTAACAATCCACCCACTGTCGAACCGGCCCTTAAAGCAATTTCCTCGGTTGCTGCAGACAAAAAAGTGCAACAATGTTACACGAACGAAAATATCATATCTTTTTTATTTAGGTAATAGATATAAAATTAATTACCAAAACTAAGCAATTCCGCTAAAGGCATAATGGCCAAAAAATTCAAAATGAAAACAACTGTGTCTGACCAAACTAGAAATTTTCCTATAATTCCCAAAGGGATAAATATAAGAAGAAAATTAAAATAAGAATGTGTCGCGAATTCTTTCAATGAAGAGAAAACTGTAGGGTCTTTGCGAGGTGATTCTTGAGATTCTTCTTCCATGTTTATTATGAAATTTGGGTTTGGTTGATTTTGCTTAAAAAAAAAAAAAAAAAAAAAAAAAAAAGTTTAGCAAGTTCACAAAAAAGAAGACGACATGTATAAATAACAATGTTATTTATGAACAGAGAACAAAACAAACATTCCTTTACATCATAAGAATTCAAAGCCACCTCGCCAGAGCTCTGATAATTTACGATACACGCAACTAGTAACCAGTAACTTACTATGAACATGCTTACCGAATGACTTGAGTCATTTGTCAAACACGCTCATAATAAGTTGCCAGATAATATTGCTGTGAATGCTACACGTCGTTAGTATTATGCTGTTTCCGGACATAGTAGCTAGCATAAATTATTTTTCAAGAAAGCTATCATGTATTCCATGAATCTCATGATAATTGTTATCCTAAAAAATAATTCACATTATTAGCTGTTTCGCATCCATTAGCTGTATCTCAAATCAACTATAACATTGAGAACGTTTGCATATGGCTGGGGGCGACTTAGATGTATTGTTTGTTTATTTGTTTTCGAGATTGGCTGTGAAAGAAAATTCCTTTGAAACATAGCAATAAATATATTGTATTTTACGCCTCAAGTCTTGCCAAAATTCTCAAATAGATGGATGAATTTAGTGACTGACCGATTCTATTTGAGACTCTTGTATGAATTGATTGGTTTTTATTCTACATTTCAGTTGCAGCAGGAAGAACTTATTAAACCTAATTGCTGTACACTAGGATTTATAACTTACACCTGGAAAATGTGTATATACGGTAGAGTATACTTGGATTCGGATTTAATCATTTATAACCGGATTTAATCTTAGATCCGGATTTAATCATTAGGACCGGATTTACAGCTGTTTTCATAAATTCTAGGACACCTGATAAAAATTAGCTGAATGCCGATTCGATTAATTTATAATTCAAATTGATATATATATTTTAAGATCCGGTGACTAATATAAATATTACAAGACTTTAGTACGTGAAGTACGTATGTACATACAGTATGTCTCTGGTTGAATATAAAAATATTATATTTTCAAAGTATCTTCTCTGGTAAATATAGTATTGAAAAAAATTTAGAATGCTTATCAGTTCGAAAAATTGTTAAACACTTAGTTAGGTGTTAGTAGACATTCTATAAGTTGGATTTCAAAGATACAGTACCTTAAACCAGTGTTGGGCAATTGGACAGTTCTGGTTTTTGGATGCCATGTTCAAAACCTGTTCAAAACCTTGTTCAAGACCAAAACTAAATTTAATTGGGTTTGGACAAATATTCTATATACAGTCAAACCTCTCTAAATGCATAGCATTCTTTGGCCCCAACTTACTGTATATGACACTTACAGATATTTACCTCCCTATATGCAATACAGTATCTCTCTAAATGCAATATTCTTTGGCCGCCCCACAGCTATGTATTTAGAAAGATCTGACTGTATATAATCTATTTAATAATTTTCATTGGCCAATCATATGTTTTCTAACAAAATTCTACTATATTTGCTCGAATAATGTCCAGAGAGCGTAGTTTAAAATCTTGGCCTGTATTAAGCATAATTCGGGCCAAAATTTTAAACTATACATGTTAGTTGAGGACGTCATGTGATACAATTCTGGGTGTTATTTTCAATATCTAGATCAATACTTTTTCGACTAAATCGGATCTAACGCTAATGGTTAATCCGCTAATGATTAAATCCGGATCCAAGGATTAACTATGCGTACGTAAGCATCAAGTTGTGTGCCATAACGATATTGACTGAATGAATGGATTCTTGAAGATCTAGATTAGGATGATTCTTACGTATTGGTTGAGTTGAAAATACTATGTAAAATAAAATTCGTTGAATTCTCAAACTTTTCATTAGTGCTCAGCACAATCAAGTTGGACATCAAAAAATCACTATATACTATAAATATCTGATATATATATGTATACACGTATATGTCCGACTTAATCCCAAGTATTTGACTATCAAACTTTTGTTTGATTGTGCCGAACACTACTTCTCACAATAAATTTGTATTTTTGTTAATAATTATATTAAACTTTAATATAACTGCCTTTTTTTAGTTTAAATTTATTATAATATTATAATATTATTCTATATATTAGCCTATGTTTTAGGCTGATATTTCTATGATTATATTAACTATTAAAAAAGTTTTTCGCTAGTGTTAAACACTTCAAAAAAGTTTATAAACACGGTTATTTATCATTGTTACTAGAAAAGTTGTTAATTTCCATTAGGGTGTTAAGTGTATACTCAATTCAATCTTAGTTCGATTCAAAAAATAAAACTAAACTGAAGCTTATAGACTTCAGTTTAGTTTTAAAGTCTGAACTTGAGTTCGTAAACTTAAAGCTTGAACTTGAGTTTAGCTTTAAGTTCAAACTCGAGCTCATGAACCTAGCATTATATAATAGAAAATCCGGAAATTTACGTAACTCGGACAGTTACTTTCAAGAAGAGTCAACAACTTTTAATTATAAAAATTTAAAGTTATACCGTATATAGTTTGAAATTTTTAGTGCTTATATATAATAAATCCGTTTTACTAAACGCACCTATGGTGTTTACTACCTATGTTACATATTATCTCAAAACACCTAATGTGGTATTCTAAAAAAACTATAGTACTTCATGCCCCAAAACTCTTCTCAAACTTAGAAAAATTTTATAAACAGATAATAGGTGCGCAACATAGGTGCGTTTTATAATAAACAAAAATAAAAATTATTAATAGAATTTTAAATTTTATTAATAAAATTTAGAATTATACAGTATCCAACTTTGTTTTTTTATTGCAGCTAATAAATTGGCATTTATATATAATATATGTTAGCTTCAGATGAAATTCACTATTAGTATGGCAGGAACCGTACAATATAGGGTTGCTAATGGAGTGACATACTTTCAATCCACGTTGGAATGGGATTAAAAAGATGGTTATAAAGTTGGAGCAACCCGAAGCAATCCGAAACAAAACCTAGATCAACCTGGAGTAAATTCTGAAGCGAGGTTAATTTAATAGAGTGGATGAAAGATGTGGATTAACATCAACACAACCTATTAACAACACTAATACAATCATCCGGCTTGTGTTCAAATTAACCCATTACATTAACCGAATCAATATGTAGTATGGTCACGAGTAGTGTGCGAAATTCAATATTTTTAATTAGTAGTTCGCAGTTAAAAGGTAAAAATTTCATAGTAAAAATCGGACTAGTTGCTTTATATCAGTAATGTGCTTCCATTTCTAAGAAAAAACCCTATAGTAAATAATAAAAAATACTCATATCTCATGATCTATTAATCCGATTTTTATGATTTTACCACCATTAAAATCAGAAAATTAGCTCTACAACTTTTATTAAGGCAAAAAAAAAAATTATTTAATAAAAAAAAAACTTTTATATGTAAGCAAGCCCCATTTCTATACTATAGAAAAAATATTTAAATTTCCGATTTTGTTTATTATAAGATTTATTATTTTTTTGTCCCTTTAGAAATGATTTACCAATTAATTTATTAAAATACAGTATAAGCTTTGTCTATTAAGAATATACATTGAAAACATTAGAAAACATTACTGAATAAAAATTTGAAATTTGTTCTTGTGGAATAATAAAGCCAAGATTGATTTTCATACACTAAATTATCAATTATATATACAGTATATATATATATATAAATATAAGTTTAGGTTATTTAAATATTCTAGTAAAGTTGTTTAAAATTAATTATATGTTGATTAATAAAGCAAGAAAATCTAAGTTGGGCTAATAATAAATTAAGCCTTGAGCTAAAGATTTAAACAAGTTTATACTGTAATTGTCAAATTAAAAAATAAAGGTGTCGATATAGCAAACAGTGTGAAATCTTCGAGCGAACTTCTTAAAATTACATGTGGCTACTTAATAACCTTACATTACTGTTCACGTACTAAAACATAAATAATCTAAATTTTGGGGTTGTCTTAAATTTTAGGACTCTGTGAAACTTATTATAATAATATATAATTTACCGGCCATTTTCAAGGCAAAGATCGACTATTTAATAGTGTTCCTATCCATATCCATTTATCCATCGAATATCCGGATCTGAATTTATTCGGATATCCGATTTATCATTGATATTCCCTCGGAATTATCCAGATATCTGAGCGATCTGGGTTATCAGATACGGATAAACGGATGACGGATTTATCCGGATTGGACCTCTACTATTTAAATTATAACAGGTTCATCCAGATACCCTTTTTTTCATTAATTGGAAAATCAAACAAAGGTTTAAGAAATAGATCTGTTTATTTAAAAAAGCACATTGCAAATAACACCATGGAAGTTCAATAAAGAGAAAAGTGCTAAGCAAAAAAAAAAAACTTGTGCACTAATATAGAAATATTCCAGAATAAGGTCAATATGGTTGCAACCCAAATCGACATTATTAGAGTGTATATGTAGAAAGGTAAACGTACAGTATTTATAAAAATTTTTATTAATATAATTATAAGCTCTACTAACCCTAATTCTAACCCCGTAACTAGATTTACACTTTGCCATATAAATATTTTTGCTTTTTTTTTTATATGGATTCCATACCAGATTTATGTAGATCCTAAATAATAATACTAATTTTGAGTGATGCAGATTTTCACATTTGTTTTCCAAAAATAGTTATTGTTTATTTCACGTTGAAGGATAGTACTGTAGATCAATAAATTATTTATGTTCGATCAGTAGTTCGATCAACTGTAAATTTTCTCACTTTTTAAATATGCAACCTAACCTTGGTCATCAAAGACAACCGATATTACAAAAACAAGCATTACAAAGTACGAATCTACCTTCTACGTTCTCGGGTACATCTTATACCTTAGAAGAGTATGAAAAGATTAGGGAAACATTAAACAAACAATTAGGACCCGAATTTATTAGTACAAGACAAGGGCCATCCGGTGGTTAGTAATTTTAATA